GTGTTTTGCCCTATCTGACCTGTTATTGTACCGAATACTCAGTACGTCCCCAAATACTAGCAAAAAAAATTTGCAAGTGATTCGGACCCACGACCTACAGGTATCTAGCCTGATGTCTTAACCACTGATAAATCCGATTCCCTAGTAGCAGCGGGTACTGCAAGTGCTATTATGATGTCAGTTTTGCGTCAGGAAAATATCATAGGAGTGATGTTTTGCCCTACCTGACATGTTATCGTACCTCATACTCAGTATAGGTACTAAATACTAGCGAAAAATTCCCACCCAAAACTAGTATGTTAGGACGTATTGAGTATTCGTTACGGTAACACGTCAGTTAGGGCAAAGCTTCACTCCTGTGATATTTTCTTGACACAAACTCACATCGTAATAATAAAAAAACAGATCATCAATTCAGGTGTTAAATTATTCAGGAAGACACACTCCCTAAAGACAGACTAAATTCTGTTGTGCTGTTTAAATTTCCATTAACCCTTGCTACCTGGGTATTGTCCAACCAACATCCCAAATCTAACAGCTCTCTCAAAAACCTGTTCTGGTACATCACAAGCCAATTATCAGTAACTTTTAAAATTTAAGCATGAAAGTATAAATTAAAACTTAAAATTGTTAAAAAAATAACAGATTATAATGTATCACAATTAAAAATAACAAAATCATTTTAATGATTTTACACCCATTTTACTATGACAATTCTTAAATTTTCTAGTAAAAATTTAAATGTACTTTATACAAAGACTACATGAATGGTATCATGTAACTGCCTATCAGTAGTTTAGTTAAACCCCATAATTTTTAGTCTAAAGTAAAAGTAAAGAAAGCAAGTTTGTTAAATATACAGGTAATATATAGTAGCATACATACTAGAGCTTTACTATAAAATACCATGTAAGTGAGATACAAATTATGTAGGCCTATATTTTGAAACACAATATATATTTTTGTTTTGTTTGTTTTTTATTGTTTTTACCACACATATATAAAATATAAATTAACAGTAAACATTACAATTATAATTACATTTTTCTATACAAAATCAGTGAGAAAAGTGTGCGGTAGGAGGTCAATGTAAGTTTCTAAAACAAACTTAAGGACATGACGAGCAGTTGAAACAGTAATAATAATAATAATAATAATAATAATGATAATAAATATAGTTTAGAGATTAAAATCATTAAACATATTAATAAATTATTAAAATTATAATGGGATCTAGTCATATTACTATCTGTGCACACTTCTAACCAGAGTTTTAAAAAGAAAATTTGTAATAAATATATAAAGTAGATAATAAATATATAAAAATAGATATATACAAGTTGTTTTATAAATAGATAATGAATCATGTTTTATGAAGAAATATTCAAACAGAATAAAGGACAAAATTGACCCCTAACATTAAAAATATTTAAGGTGAGTAGTTTCCTTCATAATCTGACGCATTTAAATAACATGTGCAAAAAATTGCCAAAATGATGCGTCATTTGACTGATGAGTATTTTTTTGTTGTTGTTTTATTTATTTTTTTAATTATTTAATTAAATAATATACCTAGCCTCTGGCCAAACAATGACAGTTGTGCCAATACAACTGATCAAAGTGTTAGGGTTGAGGTCAAATTATTGACAGTTGGTAAGTTTTTTGTTGATTATTTTCCCCTTTTTTTGCATCTTCCTAATTAAATCTTCCTTCTTAACATTGACTTATTTGGAGAAATTTATGCATTTACGATGTTTGTGTATAAGATCATCTTTGATATACTGCTGATTTTTTTGGAGTGATGCTAACAAATTAGGCCTTTCACAGCAAATTTTTGTTGAAGCTTACTGTAACTAGTTTAAAAATCCTTGAAAATATTTGCATGTTATGTTCTTCAAAGTTAACTGAAAAATACTATATTGTAGAATGAACAAATTTGTTTGCATAAATTAATAAAAATATTTTTTTTTCATTTTGAATATATATTTATCTATATATAAGTATTTTACATATATAATTATTAAATATGGTGCATTTACCAAAGCTGTGCAATAAGCTATACTAAAGATTCTTTATGAAGCCCAAGTGAAGAGCTTATTATTTGTTGCCCTTGATTCTGTATAGGCGCGATCTACAAATTATCCCCAATGACAGAAACGCGTCTGGGAAAACCATGTATTACAAACGCGTCTGGGAAAGCGTTCGTCTAATTATCATGCCTCATGAATATTAATAAGCTAGTCGGAATATATGTCCCAGACGCGTCTAAACGGGTTTGTGCTGTTGAACGTGTTTGCCATTGTTTCTATTGTTTTGGGCGACAAACCCGTCTGTGTCGTTAGACCAGGCCCCGGTTGAACTACCATTTTTTTACAATTTAAAATACTGAACAAGTTTTACTTTGAAATGAACCAAGTTCAAAGTTTAAAGGCTGCATAGTCCTAATAGTTAAATTAAGTGGTAATGACGATAATGGCAGCACATGCATGTAGGCCTACATGCCGTTTGCTCTGTCGGAAAGACCTATCTTCGTTATATAGCAGCCTACCAGCTAGGAAGCTGACGACGAACGAAAAAATGTGTTTCCTCTTGGTCTACAGAAATTCGCTTTGAGCGAAGTGGGTTTGTTGAGATGCTAACAATTGGACGTTCAATGTAGTGCCTCGATGCCAGTTTAAAGTATGG